TTCGGGATGTATGTCATTGTGTCATTTCCAGAATTTCCCTTCTTGTTGAATTTCTAGTTCTATCTACTATGATAAGACAAGGTACAAGAGAAGATTTCAAGTTTTTGTTTGGCATTTCATAGGACGTCTGTGGCCAACAATGATCTCTGCTGGAAAAGCTTCCATGCACAGAGGGAAAGATTAAGTTTTATACAGCCATTGGAGAGAAACTTCTGGAAATGTTGGTTAAGAACACTGGATCTACAGTAGAGTGGAACGCTACTGATTCTATGTTGACTTTTTGTTTGGGTGATCAGGCCATTGAGAGAATTATGGTGGGAAATTTTCCCAAGTGGATAAGCTCTTTCATAGTTTATCAGTTCCTGTAGGTCCAAAAGTGAGTGTCCTATAAAATTGGGTGTTCTGACACTAGGTGCACAGGAATTCCTAACCACTAGTCCATATTCAATTGATTTCTGGAACATTACAAGTGGCTTTTTGTCCTCTTACAGTTTTAGTCTTCAAGTCAACTTTATCAGAGAAAAATACAGCCAATGCTCACTTCTGATATCTACTTACTTGGAATCGTTTTTTTCATTTCATTCACATTCAGTCGTGAGTGTTTTTATTGGTGAGGTGAACTTCTTGCAGACAAAGTGTAAATGAAGTCTTTAAAACCCTGGTATATCGTGGTGAAATACTGCCTGTCCTAATTCTGACTGTTACATCAGGTAGACAGCTGTCCAAAGATGACAGAAAACAAGAGAGACACCTTAATATCCTGTCCTACCTCTTGGTTTAGGTCATGCGGCTTCTTCTGTCAAATCGCTTCAGGTATGGACAAAGGAGGGTGGGGCACGCAGGGAAGGACAAATTAAGCAATGCTGAGATAGAGGGAAGGAGAGGAATGGGCTCTGGGGAAAAGGGTCCCACCAGTACATCGGCTCCCAAGAAGCCAGGTTCAACAATAATGTATATGTTGGGGACAACACTTCAGAATGGACAACTTTCTATCACTTCTTCTATCGTTCCATTTTCTGAAATTTTCACAAATATTTTTAAATTCATTTTTGCCGCAGAGTCCAAGAAATAACTAGAACAATGGCTGAGAGTGAAAGCATTGCGTTTCTACCTGACAGATGGCTTATGATAAATTACTAGGAAAACAACCATGAGAAGGAACGTTGGCCCCTTAATGTGGTTAGCAATGGTTGTGAAATTCAAGATTTTCCAGAATGAGAGAGAAAGACTGCAATCAGAAATGGCATGCTGATTATTTTATTAGAACATCGATGATGCAGATAGGACTGCATTGTTCCAATGGGGAGATTTTCTGAAGGACGTCACCTTCTCATTCATTCTCTGAAAGACAAAGAAACAAGCAAGAATGTTACAGGGAAGACCTGGCAGATAGGGCAAGATGCAGCCAATCCCTTGCTGGCATCACTGAAGTGAGGGAAGCGAGACCCAGACTTCTCTCCCTCTGCTCTTCTCCTTCCCCTTTCCTTCCCAATTTCGGCTTGTCACTTCTTGTTAAAAAGCTAGAACACAATGTGCTGTAAATTGTTCCTTGTAAAATGAAGAAATAAAGATGGTTCCTAAGCTGTGTGTCTTTCAGTTGCGACAGAAAGTGATCAAAGGTAAATGGACAAAGGGGATCGCTGCAACATGGAATTCCAGCAATGGAATTTCAACTGATCAAAGTGAAAACGGATGGGCTTGGGTTGATGCAAATTATGCTGGAAATCCAAAATGGAATAGTACACAATTTTTGTAATATGTCAAGAAGAAAGCAAGAGAGGTTGATGGCAAAGGAGGAGAAAGGAAGAGAAGAGGAAGACAGGAAGAAAGGAAAAAGGGAAGGATGAAAAGAGGGAGAGATGAAAGAAAGGAGGAAGAGAAATGTAGAGATAGAAAGGAAAGGGAAGAGGGGAGGATGGAAAGCGGGCAGGAGAAAGGACAAAAAGGCAAAGGCAGTAGAAAGATCTCTACAAGTGTGAGCTGCCTTGGATGATTTCTAAGAAGTAGCTTATGCCCGACGGGCCACACAGATCCTTCGTGGCGTCCTTTCTAGGCCAGAATGGAGGACTTGGTGATACGGGGACAACTGTTTCCAGGAGGATGGGTACAGGAAGTGATGATGTGTGGGCTGGGTGATAAGACCCGCTTTCCCCATTTGGCTCCATGCCCTTCTCTGCCATGAG